CAGGGCCCAGGTGTGCTTGGCTTTGTCAGGGCATTCAGAGCCCAGTAGAGGACATGGGTGGTGTGGTAATGGGGCTTTGTTTTGGCCTTGCATGGTCCTTCTGGGGAAGGCAAGCAGTCATGAGCTGCCCGGGGCTGTGTGTGGGTTCATTTTGGAGCCACTGGGCAAGGGCAGTGCTGTGCCCTGCAGCTGGGCAGGACAATGACCGGGCAGGGCTGTGAGTTAGGGCAGGATGGCAGTGAGAGAAGAGGTTGTTTTTCCTTCCGTGCCCTCCCCTTCCTTCTGTCTTGGGCCTTGGCTGCTGCAGACTGACTCTGTCTCCTCCTTTCTCTCCCGCTGTGCTCAGTGGAGGATCGCGATGATGTGTTTGTTAAAAAGCCCAGGTAAGGGGAGCGTCCGCCAGGGCAGCAGCAGGACCCACAGGGCTGCATGTCCCAGGCAGGATTCTGGGTGCTGCTGGCACTGATCTGGGGGTGTCGAGCTGTGTCATGGTTTCCTGAAGACTGTGTGTGGGGGCAGCTGGTGGCACTGGGAAAACCTGGCTGTGGTTGTTGTGATGTTTGGGCAGTGCCTGCACCTGGGGCACAATGTCCCATGAGCCTGGCGTGGGGCTGCAGGGTGGCCGGGCAGGGCTGGGCAAGCGTCACTGGCTTCTCTGTGAGTCCCAGGCCATGTGTGGAGGCGCAGAGGGGATCCAGGACCTGAGGGGCCATTCCTTGCCCTGTGCAGCCGGGCAGGGTTGTGCTCAGCTCCTTTTGCCTTCATCTCTCTGCAATGCCTCCTGCCATGGTGCCGTGACCACTGAGTCCCTGCTCTGCCACAAAGAAATGCTCCTGAGTTGATAGCCTTTTGCTTTCCGCCTTTGCCCTGCGGAGGCGCAGAGCCGCCGGCTCTTCCCCTGTGCCTGCCCCTTCTCTGGGGTGGGTTGTGCCTGTCTGGCCACAGTTTGCCTTGCCTGCGCCCAAGCCCAGTGCTGGAGCCTGGAGGGGGCACAGGCCTTGCTCCTCCCAGTACCAGCCTGGCCTTGCCAGAGCTAGGCCCTGGGGCTCCCCACACGGTGTCAGGTCCAAGCCCCTCTGCACCCCGCTGAGGCTGGGGGTGACCATCATGTGTGAGTGGGCAGAGGGGTCTGTATGACCGCGGGGTCCCTGGTCAGCCTGGAGCAGCCCAGAGCTGGGTGCAGGGCCCTGCAGGCCTGCACTTTCCCCACCGCTCCCCAGACCGCTGTGATGGCCACCAGAGACCCCGGAGGTGCTGCGTCTCCTCAGGGCTGAAGGTGCCTTGCTTGGTCCCCCGTCACCAAACCAGATACTGGCTGGGCACGGGGGCTTGGCCGGCTCCCGCCTGCTTGTTGGGGTGGGGGGTCCTGCCTGCACACACGGGCTCAGTGGGCAGAGGGGGGACCGGGGCAGGCTGGATTAACTGGTTCTTCTTTAGCCAGGTCTCCGTGCTGGAGCCAGGAACAGCGGTGAAGACGGAGCCAGGACTGGGTGAGCAAAATGGTTCCTCTGTGCTGAGGAGGAGGGATGGGGGAGGCAGGGGATGCTGCTCACGCAGCCGCGGGTGCTGGCAGGGGGTGCTGAGGAATCAGGAGCCCCGTCCTGGAGATTTGCATGTGTGTGCAGCCCCCAGGACCCCCGCTGCCACCCCTGGCCCTGCCAGCCGCCCGCCCTGGGCCGTGGACCCCTCATTTGCTGAGCGCTACGCCCCGGACAAGACGAGCACGGTGGTGAGCAAGCACAGCCAGCCAGCCACGCCGACCCCCATGCAGAACCGCAGCTCCATTGTGCAGGCGGCCCAGCACGACCC